CAGGGGTGGCAAACACAAGGCCCGCGGGCCGAATCCGGCCCGCTGGACCTTGTAATGTGGCCCGCACAGCAGCCAGGGCCGGTCCGCTATGCCGACTCTGTGCAGAGCAGTGTCTACTGTGTGGTAGCGAGCAGAGCCGCCACTACCACAAAGTAGACACTAGAGGGCGCTGGTGGGGGAGGCCAGAGAAACACCTCCTCCCCCAGCCCTCTCTACTCTGTACTCTTTCCGGAGCTTGTTGGTGCTGTTCCTGCAGCCTGCGCTGTCCCGGTACCGGCCAAGATATTAACATATGAATGGGCTGCGTTAATTTGCATATCAATAAGATAAGCCGCGGCCCATTCATATGTAAATATCACGGCTCATTCATATGCAAATCGCCGCCCCTCCCCCGCTGCTAAGGAGCATGCGGTGTGCATGCGTTTACAGGGAGCTGCTGTCACCTGATCATTAACTTGACTAGGTGACAGCTGTCACTTGAAAACGCCAGATTAGGGATTTCTGCTGCAGTCTGAGCAGTCTCCAATAAAGTTTCTTGTGGATGTTTTCAAGGCTAGTTATTACTTAAATTATTATTAAAACCAGTAGCAACTGAATGCAGAGGCAACTATTTATGATAATAAAGAGTAGATGCATAGTCCTATACAACCGGCCGTTTGAGGGTAACCATACTGCTGATGCGGCCCCCGATGAATTTGAGTTTGCCACCCCTGGGTTAGAAGGAAGGTAATCCAGCAAGTTGAAAAGCTGAACCAGGACACGGTATTCTTCTTGGCTATGCAGTATGGCAGATATATGTATATGATAAGAATCTGTGATCAGAGTCACAGATCTTTGGCAGGTAAAATACGCATATTATCTACTGTTAACACATAGATGTCCTAACTGTGTATGTTGGCTGCACATGGAGTTCCTCTTCAAGATAAGCATAGACATGAGATGGGAGCCACTACTTTTAACCATTTTCATTAAGATTGTAAAATAACCTTAAGTCTAAGGAGTAATCAGTTGTCCATTGGCTAACTTCTGTCATAAAAGTGGGTGGACAGGCAGAAAGTAGCTCCAATCCCAGCAATGACATTGCCTACCAGTGGTGCCCCACCCCCCTTTCCCCACTCTGCATTACATGAGCACAAGTCATTGAGACACGCTGGCTTAACCAACCTTTTTTCAGTCAAGAACAATCTTTAAAATTATGTAAAATCTCAAGGGACCCAAGTCTGAAATGTCATGAATGTTAAAGGCGGACCCTACGCAAAAACACAAAAAAAAAGAAGTGGTGTCCCCCCTTCACATCAGAATTCCCCTTTTTACATCAGAGTTCCCCTTTACATCATTGTCCCCCATCTCATCAGAGCCTCTTCCTTTCATGTTAGCAGCTCTCAGTCCCCCCTTTCACATCAGAGTCCTACCATCGCAGATTTTCAAGGCACCCTGGCTGAGATAGGCTGGTTAAGCCAAGCCTTTGAGTGAATGGAAGGGTTAGCTTGGACATATCAGTCAGATCATGCCTGAACACCCAGCTGTGTTGGAGCCTGAAATGTTAAAAGCCCATAGTGCTGCAGACCTCAACATTTTTTTAAATCTTTGCTGTGTGGTTTTCCTGTGGTTGCTTTGCATTCAACTCTGGAAAAAAAAAAAATCTCCAGTTCCTTCTTTAGGGTGGCTCTATCCCTTTGCAGGGTCCCATTGAGCAACCTCTGCATGTGTACTCCTGGCTGGGTCTGCAGCTGGTGTTCCTACCTTGTGTGCACCCTTACATTCAATAGTACAAGAAGACTACAGCAGCAATTCACTCCCTTGCACCTTCCTCTTCCAGCAGCAGCTTGAGTCTGAGCTGTCCAAGCAACTAGTACCAACTAGTGACATGCCTAGTGCACACCCTTCCCGAGTGGTGGGTAGTGGCGCACAGGAGCTCTATATCCAGCACCACTGATTAGTTCAAAAAGTGCTAGAAAAAACAATACATTTTAAAAAATACTGAAGAATGTTTCACTCCACTCTTTACTGAAGAAAAGAGTGGATTGAGAAAAAACAATGCAGCAGCATTTAATACAGATGAAACTCGAATAATTAGAATATCGTGCAAAAGTAGTTTCTGCAAAAGGGGCCCAAACCAAGTACTGAGTACATATGCATGCTTGTACTTTTCAGGGGTCCGATATTGTTCTATTTGACAATCCTTGTTTTATTCATTGCATGTAATAATCTACTTTTTTGAGGTTGTGGATTTGGGGTTCTTGGGGTTTTCATGAGCTGTAAGCCATAATCATCACAATTATGACAAATCACGGCTTGAAAATGTCCAGCCACTCACCCATCCCTTTCATGGCAGTCCGCAACTTCTGGACATCGTCAGCTGCATTGAAGTTTGGGTAAGGTTTGATGGTTCCTTTAGATCCAAACTGTGGACATGACATATATTTGAGTCAGTTATCAGTACGAAACATCACAGGGTTGTTGGAACTAAAATTCGGTGTTACATGTGAAAGAAATGTGTGCTATGTAACCAGCAAAGATTTGTTGGTTTCTGTAAACTTATGAAGAATGAAAGGCAAGTACATGTGCCCTAAAACTATACACATTAGATGTAATTTTGTATATAGCGCCATAAGTGCCTTAGTATTTCTTTATATTAGCTTCCTTTACATGCTTGCTGAGCAGACTGAGAGCCAGCAGTGTGAGTCAGTCAAGTTCTAATGTACTGCACGATGTTGTCAATCAATAGCAGCCATCTGATAGGAAGAGAGCGTGATGGCCTCATCCTTTATTGTTTAATCATCAGGCTAGGGAAAAATTGGTGCTCAAGATGTAAAGCTTAACCAGATCACTGACCTGGTTGAACTGTCCGGCAGGGATGTCTGAGTGGGAAGACTGGCCGAACACAATTGCAAATCTTTTGGCAACATCTGCCTTTCCATGGTTATTGTCTCAACCTGTGTGGTAGATGCTGGGGTATTTTCCCAATATTTATAAGAACTGAAGAAGTGGCTTGTAGAAGCTACAAGTGTCTTCATAGACCAGTTGAATGCGACCAACTACTACCGTGCAAAATGCCAAATACATACTTACTTATAGCATACTTTAATGGACATATATTGGCAATATGGGACAGACAGACACAGCTGAAGGAGAGCTACAGACTCAGGTCTGGTTACGAACCTGCACTATTCAGTAGAAATGCAGAGACGTCTATGCTGAACTGGCCAGTCCATACCCTACTGTGCAAAATGCCAAATACTTGCCAATACCATAATTTAATGGACATAGAGCACAGTTCTCCACCCATTTCTAGTGAGTCACATGTTCCTCCATCCTTGGAAGTACTGAGAATTAGTCATGTCTGTGGGCTTGGTTGGAATAGAATTTACCCAAGATTGCCCTTGCAAAACTGTGAGACACATCCACCTGCAAGCCCAGAACACTGCAGCCAGAGCATTCCCCAACCCGCAGCTACATGTCCCGAAGGGACAGAGGAAGTTCTGGCTGTAGGTCCAGGCTCAGGAAAAAATTAGGTTTGTATCAAACCCACACACATACCTACTGGGTAGCTTTTGCTCCCTTCTGTTGGCTGAACTCAAGTTGTGCTGGAGTGAAGGGGAGCGTGTGCTGGTGGCGGGGCTGCTATTAAAGCATTAGTTTGCTTTACAAGATACATTGCTCAGTGCTGGGAATATGCATGCGTTTTCTTTCTCATGAATGATGACTAAATGTTATGCTGATTTTAAAATGGAGGAACTGCAAATATTAGCACGTCATCAGTTATTGGGCAGCCGGAGGGACTGGAGAGATACAGGTTTCCTCCCGGAAGGTTACATATGTTTACATTACTTTCAGCAGTTTTCCTCGGAGACTGACAGCTGATATTTGCATGGCCCTACATGAAATCCCTTATGTACTCAGCTGGAAGATCCCTCCAGCATTGCAGCGTCTGTGTGGAGCTTTAGAAGGATTACAGCAGGGCCAGGAAGCCTTCCACATATCTCTGAGGCATAAATTACCACCTTCAGGTCTTGTTGTGGGACATGACATGCTGTTACATGGCAACAAATCTTAAATGCATCAAACTTGATTCAAAATAAACATTATCTTATACAACATTAATGTGTAGATCACTGTTTATGATAAGAGATGGCTTAACCATGTCTCAGTTCAGCAGTGGCCCCCAGCCTGTGGGCCTGGGGAGAAATGTCTCAGACACATTTTTGATGTTACTCAAGGCAGCCTCTCATTAGGTGCTCGGTACCCATCTGTCTGAACACCTGCCACATTCTAAAATTCATATATGGAAGACAAGCAAATGTGTTATTTATAAAACTGCAATCATGAAAGCAAAGATTAAATTAAAGCTGAACTCCAGACACAATAACTTTTATCTAAATATCCGCCTCAATAACCACAAAGGCCATACAGTACATCCAGCTTGTGTACACCTAATGCCTTAGTACACCCACAAGTTATGAACTTGTAGACGTAGCTGTGACATCATCACTGTGCTGTGCATAGCTTGTGCAAAGAGCAGACATGTGGGAGGGACCCAGCAGGCCCCACCTACTACGGAAACTACAGAAGGGGCAGATCCAAGACCAGTCACCCTGCACAAGGAGAGAGAGAGCAGCAGTGAGCTGTCCTTATTACAGGAAGCTCCAAGTTTCGCACTGGATTACTGCTCAGATCTGGAAGAAATACACAAATCTCACCAAGAGAGGAAAGAATAGAATACACATGACTCTTGTATTTAGAGGACCTTTGCTTATCCTGGAGTTCAGCTTTAAACAACAACTGCCTACAAACTGTTTGCCATCTGTAAAATTGGGTGAGAGGACCATTGCCATGAAAACAAGCAGTTCTAACCAGCCCATAAATTGAATACTGCACTAGATGTCCCAGTGACCACCTGAAAATGGGTCACTTATTAATGTCCAGCATGTGGACTGTGCTATTCATTTGCAACTGCATTTTCTACCCAATGCATATGTAGTTTTAGGTGTATGGGGTTTTTAAATATTTTATTAAATTGAAAACATTATGTTGTAAGATATACAACATAGCTCTCTAGATCGGAAGGTGCCATGTGCCAACTAGCCATTTTTCCTACCAACAACGTAGAGGAGAACCCATTCTTAGTGCTCCTGACCGTTTCTACACTTGGTATGTTCAAAAAAATACACTGAACCATTGCACACAACAAGAACCTCCAGGTTTGTAGACACGACACCAGTCTAGTTTTCCTCTCCACCAACCTTGGTGTACCAGAACGAAATATTGACCCAATTTTCAGAGTGGAGAACCTGGCACTGCCTCCTCCCAACACCTAAGCTTTTATCATTGTGATGGGCAACCTCATAGCCCAGTAGCTAGGATTAGGCAAATTTTCCTTCACCTCAGGCCCCTTCATAAGTCTCTAGATAACCAAGCAATCATTACAGTGGTGCTCACGGTGCTTCCACTCCAGTGGCATCACTTCCTCACTCTGATAAAAAAAACAGCTGAACCATTGAAAGGAGCAGGGCAAACCAGTGCATGGAACCACTGTGCTTATTGCCAGTTGACCTTAAAATGTATTTCCACTTTCGCAGCCAAAATCCCATTCACATACTGTAGCATAAGCTAAAAAAAAAAAATGAAATTGCTTCCTGTATTTTAAATTGCTTTTACTTGGGTTGGTGTTTTAAGGGTTAAAATTTCTTCTTCCATTTCTTTGAAACGTTAGGAGGGGCTGTAAGGGGTGAGTCACCTTGTCCATTGAGAGTTGCCTTGTCAATGTATGTTAATAAAGCTTATCAGATTAACACAATCCTCAAATTTCAGTCCCAAGACTTTCCATTGAGATAGACCACTGTGAAAGGGCTGAGAAAAACCTGCAATCAGCCATCCTGCCTGATTTAAAAAAAACATCTAAAAAAGGTAAGAATTTTATTTTAGTTGTCTTTCAGTATGTGTGTGTGAATAGGAACACAAACATATGGAGGGAGGGGGGGG